GATGAACAAATACACAAATATTCCATACAATAGTCTTGCCATATACATCAGACTTAAAGGGGTGCACAGCAGGCACTATCTCTACTCTCATTAATTTGGAATTACAAGTTCTACAAGCATTCCTATCAGTGCTTACTAATGGCACAGATTAGGTGAAATATATTATCACTTAAAGGAATTTCTGAATTTATTACCTCTTATCAAAAATCAAATGTCCTATATCCATGCATGATGGAAGAGCCTTTTTAAAATGTCTTCTTCCTTTGCCACACTCTATGCCATTAAAAATGATATTTATAAGGCATTTCAGTTAATATTTCCATAACTAAAAAATTTGGATGGTAACTTTATTTTTTTTCTTTCTCTGAACATATTTGAAGGGCTTATTCACAAGTTCAGCATGACTTAATTTTTGTATATTGTTTGAGATAGGTGTCAAGATTCAGTTTTCATTCCATATGAATAGTTATTCCAGCAACATTTATCAAAAAGATGATTATATTCCCACTGAATAACTTTGTGCCATTTTAAAAAGCAATTACTTGGGCCAGCCCGGTGGCGCACTGGAGAGTGTGCCGCTTGGGAGCGCAGCAGCGCTCCCACCGAGGGTTCGGATCCCATGTAGAGACCGGTTCCTGCTCACTGGCTGAGCGCGGTACGGGCGCAACACCGAGGGTTGCGATCCCGTTGTCGGTCAGTAAAAAAGACAAAAAGGAAAAAAAAATAAAAAAAATAAAAAGCAATTAATTATATATGTGGGGGGTCTATTTCTAGACTCTCTATTCAGTTCCATTTATCAACACGTCTGTCCTTACTGAAATAATACCACCTGTCTTGATTACTGTAGTTTTATAGTAAGTCTTGAAAGACTTGAAATCAGATAACGTATGTCCTCAGATTTTACTCTGCTTTTTGAAGATGTTTTGGCTCTTTTAAGTCTTTTGCATTTCCATATACATTTTTAAATCACCTTCTCAATTTCTGCCACGAGAACTTTCTGAGATTTTGTTTGGGATTGTGTTGAATCTATAGATCAATTTGAGGAAAACTGTCACCTTAACATTTAGTCCGCCAATCCAAACACATGGTATGTATCTCCATTTATTAAGGTTTTTTTTGTTTTTTTTTTGTTTTTTGTTTTTTTAAAGATGACTGGTAAGGGGATTTTAACCCTTGACTTGGTGTTCTCAGCACCACGCTAACCCAGTGAGCTAACCAGCCATCCCTATATGAGATGCGAACCCACGGCCTTGGTGTTATCGGCACCACACTCTCCCAAGTGAGCCACGGGCTGGCCCCATTTATTAATTTCTTTAATTTCTCTCTTTCAATCTCTTGAGGTTTTAAGGTCTTACACATATTTTGTTATGTTTATCCCTATGTATTTTATTTTTGTTGCTATTGTAAATGATACTTTTCAAATTTCATTTTGTAAAAGTTCATTACTATAATATATACAATTGATTTTTATATATTGACCTTGTATTCCCCTGAGCTTGCTATATTCACTTATTAGTTCTATTAGTTTCATTGCTATTATTGCTCTCTGGTTCTCTAGCTTACCAGGACACAGGCCCAGTTGGTTTGCTTCCTGGTCCAAACACCCTAAAGAGGCAGCTCCCCTTGTCCCATGTGAGCTGATTTTCCAGGGCCATCTCAGCTGTTCAAGCCTGTAGTGGTCAAGTGATTGCAATGGTGGAGGAAAAGGACAAGTCCAGTATTGTCATTTTAATTTGGGGTAATACAGGAACACCAGTGTTAAAACTGGCATTTTATTTTGAGTGAACAGAATTAATAAGATGAGGGGGAAAACATTTCAAATACAAACATTGGCAAATTTTACAAAATGTCTCTCTGGCCCCTCCAGACTTTGCTGCTTCTTTTGCCTTCAGTTCTTCCATCCAGGGGACCCCCGGAAGCTGCCACACTGGTGTCCCAGGGGGGTTTCTTGACCTCTCCGCTGTGTGTGGCTCCCTTCAGTGCAGCATTCTGGAGCACTATCTCTGAGCAGCAACTGCAATTTAGCCAGAACCAAACTGAATCCTTTCCATTTTTCTGTCACCAATCTGGGACGTAGTGTGGCTGTTGACATATTCTGATTCCTCCCCTTCCCCAGAGGACTCCTCTGCTGGGTCCCTACTTAGCTTTTCTTTTCTATATGGGGGCCGGGAGGAGCAGAGAGAAGGCTGGGAAGTTGTCACAGTTGAGGGATAAAGAGGAAGTAGAAGAGTGTCAGGAATGATTGGGAGACAGCTGGCCAATGTCTGAATTAATGACATTACATCCACAAAAAATGCAGGTATTGGAGTAGATAAGAATATCATGATTTAAAAAAATAAATAGCAAAGTGTACCCAAATACTAAAAAACAGCACTGACATCTCTAGAGAACTCTGTGCCCAGCCTATTGTGAGAGGAAGTCTTGTGACGTGGAGACATGTGGGTCTGAAATAGTCATCATACTGAAGTAATCCTTATCAGCTTTTCCATCTTTATTTTCTATTCTCGTCTGCCTCATAAAAATCAGAAAATTAAATGCAATATCTTCCCATTAAGCTGTAAACTTAAAAACAAATTAGAGAATATGAACATTAAGATCCTCTTAGTAACATTAAGTACGTTGCAGTGGCCCCTAAGTGTATTTTTGGATCACCTTCTTCCCAAATGAGCTGGACTGCAGCTCATGGCTTTGATGACCAAAGGTATGGCCAGTGAAAGCAGCTAGGCAGCAGGGGTACCAGGGAATTTGCCAAATAAAGTCTATAGAAGGGGTGAGAGGCAGGCCTGGAGCAAGACTCTGAGCCTGGGGAGACTATCTGCTGGTCTTTTATAGGGCTGCATGGCCTCTGTGTCCAGGAACAGGCTCATATCCCAACTGCTCTGAGGGCCTGGCCCCAAGCCACCAAGAGTCAAAAGGGAAAAGGCTGAGCATCTCAAAAGACCCCTGGAGTCTGCAGGGATTCCCAGGGGCCAGGGAGTGGATGTGAGACCCAGCCCTGCTGCCTGTTGGGGTTGTGCTAAGTCTCTGATGCTGACTGACTAGCCACTCAGAGTGTTGCTGGCCCTCAGCGTGGTGAACTCCAACAGCCCAGCCTCCTCCTGACTTCATGGAGATATCCAGCTTCAGTGCTTCTGCTCTGCCTCTCAGGCTCAGCCTGGGCCCAACCCTACGAACAGCTAATGGGGCTTCTCCAGCCTGCCCTATGGCTCCCCACCTCAGGAAGAGCTTTGCTTTCATTCTCAGACTCAATCCACCCTGATGCCTCTAGGTAGCTGACATGTTCCATCTGCCCTGGACCCACAAGTCCTACCTCAGTGTCAACCTGTATGGCAGGCTCTACCAACATGGCTTCCCAGGACATGAACTCCTGAGTGACATGGTAGCTCAAAGATAGAGAGTGTCTGGCCCAGTGTCAAACAGCTAACTAGTAGCAGAGTTGGGAGAGAAACCAGGTCCTCTGACTCCCAGGGATTAACTAGAAGTATAGTGTGGTGAGTGGAATAATGCCCTACCTACTCTCAAAGATGCCAGCCTGTGAATGTGTTATCTTCCATGGCAAAAGGAAATCTGCAGATGTGGTAAAGGGTATGGACCTTGAGATAGGGAGGTGATCCTGGATTATCCAGGCAGCATAGTTTAATCACGTGAGTTCTTTTTGGAGATGGGGGGAGGGTGGTTGGCTGATACAGGAATTGACTTGGATCTTGGTGTTATCAGCACATGAGTTTTTAAAAGTGGAGAATCTTTCCTGGCTGGGTCAAAGAAATGAGATGGAATAGGAAGGCTGTCTGGAATGAAAGTTCTACCCAAAGTAGGAAGAATGCAGTCAACCAACCTTCTCGATTTTCTCCAGAATTTGAAAATGATACAGAGAGAATAGAAGGAACAGAATCTGAAAAGCCTGAGCCCCATGAAAACCATAAGAAAGCTGATCCAGGAGTTGGCTGAAACCATGAGACAGAACAGGGCAGTGTGGAGTTCTCAGGGACAACCAACAGTCAGGGGCAGCTTGGAAAAGCAGAAACAGAGAGGCCAAGTCACCAAGCAGTGGGTGGAAGATGGGCAAACATCTCTTAGTAAGCCATAGCAACCAGCTCACCCAGTACCTGGACTGACCAGGAGCCTGTGGCTCTTCACCAATAGCCTACAAAATAGCTGCCCTAGGATTACATGTCATCCAACTCTTGGTGTATTAGTTATCTGTTGCTGTGTAACAAATTACCACAAACTCAGCAGCTTAAAACAACAAATATTTATTATGTTATGGTTTCTGTGGGTCAAGAGTCCAGGCATGTTTTAGCTATGCCCTCTGCTCAAGATCTCATGAGGCTGCAATTAAGGTATCTGCTGGGCTGAGAACACATTGAAGATGTGTTCTCATCTGGAGGCCCAACTAAGGAAGAATCTGCTTCCAAGGTCACTAAGGTTATTGGCAGAATTCATTTCCTTGGGTGTAGAACTGAGTGTACCACCAGCTTCTTGCCGTTGTTTGGCTGGAGGCTACCCTCAACTCTTAGCGGTAGCTACAGTTCCTACAGACCACCTGCAGTTCCTTGCCATATGGGCTACATGCTGCTTCATCAGGCCAGCAAGGAGAGTCTCTAGAGAGAGTCTGTTAGCAAGACAGAGTCATACATATGTGGTAAAGGAAGTGACATCCCATCACCTCTGCCATATGCTATTGGTTAGAAGAAAGTCATAGGTCCCACTACACTCAAGGGAAAGGAATGATACAAGGACATGAACACCAGGAGAGGATTGTGAAGGACCATCCTAGAGTCTGTCCACCACACCTAACATAGATTCAGTTGGGGTGGGAACAGCAGTACAGAATGTGGTGCTGGGAGGACTGGTGCTGAGTTTGGCCTGGGTAACAAACAGATGAAGATTATAAAAACAGCAGATGTGGGCAAGTTCAAAAGCTTCACATCCTTTATAGATGTAGCTCATTTAATCTATATTATAAAATGAAAATAAAAAATGGTATTCTCATTTTACAGATGAGTGGACTGGAAGGGACTAACCTTACCTGGCTGGAAAATTGGGCAAAGGGAAGTAACTGGATGGAGAGGAACCACGAAGAGTCAGTATCATTGGACCACCCAGGCTGTGACAGAATGAGAACTATCTGGATCCAGCAGGCCCACAAGAGTTTCACCAACACTTGTGGACCACTTGCTGACATCTGACTGACCTCCACAGGACACTTGCACAAAGAACCTGTCCTCTTTGTTGGCAGACAAAGGCAGTAGTTATTTGCTTTTCTCTAGAAAACCATCCAGCAGATATGGTGGCTGTTGGTACCTTTGCTTAATGCATTCAAACTATATTGGGTGGACAGCATCATTTTAAAGAATTCAAGACACTAATAAACCCTTGAAACTGACAATGGGTTTGAATACTTGAGTATGGAAGGTTCAGCCAGCTGGGGCACAGAGTGTGTCTTCAGCACATAAAACTCAGTGGGTGGAAATTCTAAACCCTAGCAATACAACAATGGGTGAAGCATCTATTTTCCTTTAAGTGTCCACTATTTGAGGAACTTTATTCATGTGGATGAATAAAGCAGTAGAGACTGACACAAGTAACTAAGGAAAACAGATTTCATTCATGTACTATGAATATGTTTGTGATTATATCCACCAAACATTTATTGAAACCCTGTTGAGGGGAAATATAAAGATGAGTAATTTCTCTTTCCGCCTACTCCAAGAAGAATATGGTTAGACACAGATCAGTGCTGTAATAGAGGTACTGAGCAAGTCCCATGGATGTATCCAAGAGGATGGACAGGAATTTGAGGAAGGCTTCTTAGAGAAGAGAGATTATTTTCTTTCCAGTTAAACATTGGTTAGACACAGATCAGTGCTGTAATAGAGGTACTGAGCAAGTCCCATGGATGTATCCAAGAGGATGGAGGAAGGACAGGAATTTGAGGAAGGCTTCTTAGAGAAGAGAGATTATTTTCTTTCCAGTTAAACATTATAGAATTGGTAGAACCCTACTAGATGATTGCTGAGGACTGAGGCCTACAGAAGGCATTTCAGGCTAGGGCAAAACGCTGAAAGCCAAATCGTGCAAAGAACTGGTAGAAACTGTTGTTGAGAGAGTATCCAGTGTTGGGAGAGGTAGGACAGACTAAATTACTAAGTCCTTTCAATACTGGGTTTAGGGGGTTGGAATATATTCTGAAATTACTGGAACATCATGAATGGGAAGGACAAACTCAGATTAGTGATTTAGGAAAAGAACTCTGTGAGGACAGATTGGGGGTAAGAAGAGATTCATGTGGGGGCAGCATTACCATAATCCAGACAAGAAATAAAGAAGGCTTGAGACAAGGCTATGGAAGCAGTTGGCATGAAGGGACAGAGGTACATATCAATGCAATATGGTGACTCTGGGAGATGGAAGACTGTGAAACAAGTATGAAGCTGAAGGCAGAAAGAATGGTGATGACACTAACCAAACCTAGGAATCAGGAGGAGTACATAGGTGAGGGCATCTCAGTAAAGGTGTTCAACACGTTAAGTTTGAGGGGCTTGTAAGACATCTATGTGGATTGTTAGAGCAGGTGAAAATGCAGGTGTACAACTCAGAGGTCACCATGTAGATAAAATTTTCAAGGATGATATTTGAAACTGTGGGAATACATTAAACTATTTAGGAAGACAGTATAGGCTGGCTGGTTAGTGGGTGGTGTTTATAACACCAAGATCAAGGGTTCCTATCCCTGCACTGGCCAGCAACCAAAAAAGAAAAAAAAAAAAAAAATGTTGGTTGGGGCGTTGGAGAATGGCATCTTTATGAGAAAAAGGACAGGAGTAGAACCAGGAGACAGCATGGTTCTAGAGGCTAAGGCAAGAACATCTTAAGAAGGAATTACTGATCAGTAAGTTAAACAAGATGAGATCTAAGCAAGGATCACTGGTTTGAAGTTAAGTAGGTATTGGCAACTTTGGGGAAGCAGTTTGAGAAGAGTGGCAAGAGCAGAATCCAATAAGTAGAGTCTGCCTAAGTAGAGAGGAGGTTAAAGTATAATATGCCAGTTACTTTCAGAAGTTTGAGAATGAAAGAAGAATGGAGGAAAAAAGTCGTTTGAGGAAGGAGGGCTATTTGAGACTCATCCTTACTCTCTGCTTACCAAGCAGTTGTCTTACACAACTGTGCATAATAGGAAGAAGGGATCTGAGCCCCATTTACTTTTTAAATAATCAACAAAACTCCAGGCCTAAATTACCATCTGGGAAGGGAAGAGGGGGACGTAATCTCTTAGGCCAAATTTTGCCTCAGCAGCTTTGGCTAAGACTTCTACAGATGTATAAATGTTAACCCTCCACCCCAAACAAAACCAGCCCCCTTCGCTACTTTATAAGCCGGCAAACTTGAGCAGGTGCACAGCTGCCTTCCCGGGTTCTGTACCCGGAGCTCCTTTCCGAGCCGGCCTGCGTTCACCCGGCGAGTGCTCGGCTCCGGGACAGGCCCGGCGCGAACCCAGTAGAGTCGTTCCAGTGCAGCGCGCCCTATCTTCCCACGAGGCTAGGTTTTGCCTGCCGTGGCCTTCGGTGGTGACATCTAATCCCACACGCGGAGCGGGGAAGCGGGCACAGTAAGGACACCCTCAGCCCTGCCTGCGAATCCTTTGGCCCGCTGCACTCAGCCTCCATTATTCTTTCCCGCCCCCACCGCGCCCCTCTTCGGGAATATGAAACCTAGTGCAGTCAGGCTGAAGCAAACGAGTGGGATCCACTATCGTCTCACTCGGCAAAAGAGAAAAGGCAGAACCGGCTCCAGACAGCAAAGGGGTGTGTTGCCCTGGCCTGGCCGCCTGGAATCCCCGCCCAGGCGCTCCCTACCTCCTCCCTGGCCCGCCCTACAGACGCCGGGGACTACATTTCCCAGAGAATGCCGCGGCCCCGAGGGGCGGGCCAGTCTGCTCTCCTACACACGCACAGCGGTGACTCGCTCCCCTGGAGGGGGGCGGGGCCTGCCCCGGCCAATAGGCGGGAGGCTCGTTACGGCGGCGGAAGCAGCGGCGCTGGAGTGAGCGGTGGGGGGCAGACTGCTATCGCCCCGGCGGCGGCTGCGGGTCTCGAGCCTGAGGTTGTCGGCCCCATAAGCGGAGAACGTGCGGGAGCGAGCTCGAGGCGGCGCGGCGGCCACTCAGCGTAACACACAGGTAATGGCGGGACGGGCGTCTGGGAGGGGAGGGGAGGAGACGAGGGGGCGGGGCGGCCGAGCCGGGCTGCCGCGTCCGTCCCGCTGCGCGTCCCCGGGGAAGGGCAGAGGTGCCTCGTCTTTTGCGGCTCGGATCCCGGCTCTTTCACACGCTGATCATGGTGGTTGGCCCGGGTGTCCTGCGGCGAGGAAAGGAGAGACACCGGGAGGGGTGGGCTGACCCGGGCGTGGGGGCGTGGCGGACGTGGGCCTTGGCGGGGAAGCGGACGGCCGGGGGAGCGCGGGTGGGCGGGCGGCCCAGAGAGTTTGGCTCCTGCAGCAGTTTAAAGTGACTCTCCACATCCGGGCCCTGCGCCCGCTGCTTTCAGACCCCGGCCGAGGCGGGGCCTCCCAGCTCCCCGCCCCCCGCGCCGGGAGCGCCTGTCTTCCTCTGCTATTGGCTCATCCTCGAGGGGTTTGGGCTGGCAGGATCGGGGGATAAGGACTGGAGCCAGCGGCGGCCGGGTGGCGGGGTTGAGGGGGCCGGCGGGGCTGGACAGCGGCGGGTCCCGGGCTCACTCTGGTACTAGTCCTTTCCGCGTCCTCGGAGCCTAGCGCTGCCGCCGAGATGGGCCCTCCGCGGCACCCCCAGGCCGGCGAGATGGAGGCTGGGGGGGCGGGCGGCGGGCGGAGGCTACAGGTATAGAGGCACACTGCTTGTCTTGTCGTGGGGCTTCTCAGAACGCCGCCCCCATCCCCGAGAGGGAGTCTCAGACACCCGAAGTGTCTGGAAACCTGTGTCCTCCGATCTCAGCTGGGAATTAGGGATGGGGTGGGGTTGTGGACGAAGCAGGAGAGACCGGCAGAGCTTGGCTTCTGAGGGAAAAACGGGGGTTGATTTTAGAGAAGGTGGAGAAGGTCTCGGGTTTCTGCGACTTAGTGGGGGTCTGAGAAAGAGAGAGAAAGAAGAAATCCGTACATGGAGGCCTTTGCAGAAAAGCATTTGAGAATTGCTTTTGCATCAGGTCTCGATGTAAGATTTCTAATCCTTTCTCAGGGCTGGGCATCTCCCCTCTGAATCCTTCTGACATACTAATCAGTTTTGCTTACCTTGGTTTGAGGTTTGAGTCTTTCAGGGACATGCCATTTTCCATAAAACTTTACACAGAGATGCATATGCATTGTGGTAATACCTATCCATCTGAATGTTGTACAGGATTCAATGTCGATTTTTTTAGCATAGCAATCCACAAGTATTTATGGAGGGTAATAGTATCCCCCAACACCAAATAAACGATGTTAATTGAACCTAGTACGTCAAAAACTTACTAATTTAGATAATGTCTGCAGTTATATTGATCACAAGTTGTTTTAAGTAAATGATGCTGCATTTGCTTTTGCAAGAGAAGATATCTTAGGTTCTAACGGTGCTTTAATTTCTCAATATTGATTCTAATCCCAGAATCTAGTGATAACTGTATGACTGTATACACTGCAGGTGGAAATGAGTTCTCAACAGTTTCCTCGGTTAGGAACCCCTTCTACTGGGCTGAGCCAGGCTCCTTCACAGATTGCAAACAGTGGTTCTGCAGGATTGATAAATCCAGCTGCTACAGGTGAGATGTGTAATATTATTCTATATTGTTTCCTGCTTTAAGAATATTGTGTTTTCCAGGGCCGGCCTGTGGCTCACTTGGGAGAGTGCGGTGTTGATAACACCAAGGCCACAGGTTTGGATCCTATATAGGGATGGCTGGTTCACTCACTGGCTGAGCGTGGTGCTGACAACACCAAGCCAAGAGTTAAGATCTCCTTACCTGTCATCTTTAAAAAAAAAAAAAGAATATTGTATTTTCTGACTTAGAAATTAGCAAATTCCCTTTAGGATTTTAGTAAATACTAGTTTATTGGATTTGAAGAAAGGGTATGTTTCTATTATAATTTAAACAAAGCTTTTTCTTCCTGTTTTAACCACTTTATTCACATGTACTAGAGCACACATGCAACTTATAGTAAAGCATGCCTATAGAAACTATTTTTTAAATACATTAATGTGTTCTCACGTAGCCAGTGCACAGGGGTATAGTAATAGTGCCATGAGGGAGCCCAAAGGTGTGTAAGACATAGGTCTTGCTTTTTAGGTGCTTACTATCTAGGGGGGAAGGTATATATACTTATATATGCAACTTGGTTTTCAGGTTTTCAGTTATGTACTCTTTTAGTAAGTGC